ACAGGGAAAGGTTCGACTTCTTTACATGGGCACACCTAGGCACCAAAGAAAAGTCGGTGTCGGTGTCTAGTTGATCAAAGACCTCCCTGAAGCTCGACACAGAGCCCGAGCTCCAGAAACGACGTTATTATGATTTGTGTTTCATACCTCCCAGGATTGTCATGAACTTATGATACCCCACCGGTTGTCGGTCTTTTGTTCTTGTTTTTACTATGTTGCTTGCTAGCGTGGAATGTTGGTTTCGCATGCGAGGTGTTGGATTTGGGGCCGTGAGGGTGATGATACTTCCTTGCCTTTTGCTCCACTGGATATTTGTCAGTGTTTGGGCTCGGTGGTGGTCGCTGAATCCTGGTATTTGTTCGCTTAATGAGGGCGTATCATATCACATGCGTCGTTCTTTCTTGAAGCCAAGCCTTATAATTCGTCAGCTCGGGCGCGAAATGTACGTATTATGGAAAGCTGGTTATGTTTCTTCTACACAATAATGTATCCTTTGACTGGTGGTCCTTTTCCACGGTCAGAGAGGACAGACAGCAAATACCCCCTTATGCATGTATCACCACAACACCACCTTATTTTGACTATTACCTTCTATGTACAGCAGTATCACCTTTAGTGTAGTGGTTCGCGTAGTGTGGGATCATAGCCCCCCTCTACCATTGTCCTCGTGCTTACAAGGGCAATAGCACTCTCAGTATGAAATGGTCGTACAAGGGTATATAAGCGGTAAGTGATGAATGTATATGAGCAGTGATCGAATCCCAGATGGGGAAGGACGCCATCCCCGTGACCCCTCCACCGGACAACAGTGGCTTGATGGTCGTTCTTCAGCCATCTGAGAGGTCCAAGACCCCGGGGATGGATGCAATCGCAAAAAGTTTTACTCGGTGAGACATATTTTTACCCCTGGTTATGGACTGTACATCACTCCAAGGTCAGGGGTTCCGCGGATATCTGTTCCCTGTGTAAGTTAGTGGAGAGAAGACCGAAAAACATATCACAACAATTTGTATCCTTCGCGAACACTCGGTTGGGTTGAGTTTGGGCCTTGGGGCCAGATTAGTATTTTTGGAAGTAACTCTATCCGCGTCACGGTAGTCAAGCAACTAGGCTGGCAGCTTGACAGTGTATCGCAGGAGGAACCGATCACCGCCATTTCCCAAATCTGCTTCGCACCCAAGGCTGGTAATAGCTCGAGTATTCTCTGGCGGTGGATATGCCAAAGTGGGTAGCAACATTGACGTAGCCGTCTTCGGTATATTCGCCAGTCCTTTTGATGGCATTAACGTCCGAGATGTCCACCTCCCAGGGTGTCCGACAGTAGACGCAACGGACACCCTTTCCCGCTTGACATTTGGCCCACTGATCAAAACATGATTTGTGTATGTTGTGCCCACATTGCGCCTTACACCAGACCAGCTCGTTGTGCCCCTCGTCGAGTTCCATGTAGCAGATCGGACACTCTCCATTAGTAGGCTTACGGTTGCCCTTCGCGTTCCGACAAAGATCGGTAGGAATTGGAGGCGCATGGGCAAAGATTTCTTCCAGCTCTGATGTCAGCAAGGCGAGTTGGTACTGGAGATGCAGAGGCGCCTTGAGGACGGTGTTTAGAGCATAGACCTTGTGTTTGCATTCGTTGCCTTTTAGCGAGTCAGGACAGGTGCAGGCGGGCAGGTGGCTGACGGTGACGGTGTAGATGTTGCCGGTCGAACCGACTATGTCGATATCTTCCGACGGAACCCCTGCTCTCCCCTTTCGATTGCGACCGAGCACAATCATGCGTTGGTTCTGGGCTCGCTCGAGCTTCACGAGGAAGGAAGCCGGGGGCTTGCTTCTATATCTGCGCAATCGCTTCTCGTCGACCTGTTCGCCTTTCGTTTTCTTAGATGCGGTGGAGGTGCTCTTCTTTCCGGGGGTACAGTCTAATCGGTCCATCGCAGAGGCGTACATTCCATAATCATAGCTGCGGCGTGTTTCCTCTTTCTCACAATATTGTGATCTCGATGCTTCACTCTTCCGGGCTCGGCTTGGGATGGGCGCTTTCGGCTTGGATTTCACAGGAGTGGTTTTCTTGACGCCTCCGTCGCTGGAGACACGGGACACCTTCGCGGGAGGCATTTTCGGCACTGGAGATTGTGATTTGTAAGGGAGTTTGTCGACGAGCCGATTGAGGACACTAGTGAAATACCTAAATTACCTCGTGCAACTCAGAGGTTATTATGAGGGGAAGAATTGGGGTGGGGGTGTCAAGTCAGGTGTTAATTCCCCCACAGTTCTGGTTTCTCGCATCAATATCAAACACAACCCCTGGTTTCAATTCGGGGTTTGCCTTCAAAGTCTGAACGCAACATATTCACCCCAAGGTTCAAAGATTGATATGCTTCTTCGAAAGGTCCTATTCTCACCAGCGCGAGCAACCACTATGAAACGCCCGTCACTTATCTAGCAACAAGTCTTGCGGCGGATAAATACCCTTTTTAGTACAATACCCACGTCTTGCTCTATTCGTCCGAGTTATACCAAATCCTGAGAATGTCCACCAGGGTTTTGCGCAGAATCTGGTCGCTATCAGCCATGGGTAGACCTAGTCTCATGGAACACTTACAGTCTGTGGTCACAAAAGCTCTATCAACCTCAGTCAGTGCCTCACAACAGTACTGCAAAGTCTCGGCAATGTCGTGCGTGCGCCTCAATGGTGTGCTCTCGTCCAGCAAAATATCGAACTCTGCCCACACGCCATCTCCAGCGTGGTACGCAATTACCGACTTGAATCCGGACACCACGTTCCTGAAGCGGTACGCCAGATAGATCAACTTCTTCTGCAGCGTCTCGTCCACTGCAAGGCCACAAAGTCTGCTGACATTTTCGACGCAAGTGTCTGCCCAGTCGTAAATGATGTACAAGGAAAGCAGTGCTGCACCGAGCGGATCCAACCACCAGATGCCCGCCTGTTTGCCGATCAAAGGGAAGAGCAATGAGAGCGTATTAAAATACACATCTGTCTTACAATCCTGTGCCAGCGCCTGCACCTGGGTGGTCTTGATCCTCATACATCCAAGACCAATCAGGCCTTTGATCCCAATGGTCCCCGCCATAGAAGCGATCGCCAGTGCGGGTAATGTGGCAATGTCGTGGTTACCATGTGGGAGCAATTTCTCAACAGACTCTTGCAGAATCTGAAGAAACGAGATAACCATGATGATAGAAAATACCAGGATGCCAATGGGCTCCAGCCTCCGCCGACCGACCGGGAACTTCCTCGTAAGTGCTGACAACCTCCAAGACACCAGTTTGTTTGTCGTCCATACAATGGCTGTGCACAGCAGATCCAGCGCCGAGTCAACGAGGGAGGCAATCAACGACAGAGATGAGGACTTGAGCGCAGCTATGCCCTTGGCAACGAGGAGAATAATGTTGGCGATGACATTAATGTTGATAGCCCACCGGGCGTTTCGATCGGCCTTTTGCCTTCTCTTCCGCACGTCATCCGGCAAAAGGTAGTCGATATGCTCCTCGACATGCTGCAGTCTGCCTTCCCTTTCTCGGATCCCGTCGTGATCGGCGTCGGTGTTCATGCTCTCCATCACCTCGTCAGCCATCGCCAGCACTATCGTGTCCACCTCGGCCCAGTCATTCAAGGTAGCATTTTGTTTTTCGTAGAATTTGCGGACCTTTTTGTTTTTGATTTTTTTCAACTAGACGGCCGATCTATGTTAACCTCGCAAAACCTTGTGATGGGCACGTAGCCTGCTTACTCACCTCTTCGTCACTTTTTCTGGCCTTCTCAAACGCCCCTCTGTCTACGCCTTCCCGCAACTGCTCCTTCAAGACAGCTGTGGTTCGGCGATCCAAAACATAATCGACAGCATCTTTGAAACCAGAGAAACGTCTATTATTGTGGCCACATTCCAGGTCCGCCTTTCTCCGATGGTCATCTGGTTTGTTCTTAGTTATATTAAGAGTTCGTTTGCCGACCATCGCGGTGCTGTTCGAGAGGATTCAAAGGATGAGCCAACGGAATTCAGGGACACAGCTGGTCCGTTGGACTTGCAGCTCTACACCGTTAGAGAAGTGATATGATGCCTATCGAAGGAGAACTGGCCAGATGATGCTTGTTGATATATGGAGCAAATCTGATGGGATCAAAGGCGTTAGTGGCGCCCCTGCTTCAATGACGACATTGAACCAACCGATTCCCTGTTTCGCCCTCTAGAGCCGCTGGTCGAACTACAAGCTTTTCCGGTCAAGGATGCCGTGGAAGCTTGGTTGACAGCCAACACTTGACTACTCCGTACCAAGCCGTGCCGGGCATTGATAGGTACGCAAGGGTACGATACCTCAGAATACTCGGAGCGAAGCTCTATGACTAACGCGTGCTGCCGGCATACGAATTTATCTCCGTCGCAATGCACCGCAAACAACAATAGCCTGTAGTTCAGGATCTACAATCATCTATCTTGTGAAATATAGGCAATTGCCATGGTATATTGAAACCTCTTCGGCCCTCGGTCAGCCCAGCTCTCTTCAGTCCTCTCGTACAGCGTACCCCTTGAGAACATCCCAACTATATTCCGTGGATTGTTCCTGACCTCTAATGTCTCGGACATGCTGTTTTATTCATCATCCCACTTGTCGATGCTGCCGTTTTCGACATGCTATCATCGCGAGTCTCTCCGCCTTTTTTTATTTGTTGCGGAAGCCACTATTATTTGACGACGGAATAGTAAATCAATGATATTGTCCTCACCGAATTCGAACATTTCAGATCTTCAACACAGACAACTCATGCAACAACTAGCCCAGGGTTGAAGGGTTCTGGCCTCGCATCTTGATGAGGAAGCGCTCCGTTCTCGCCCTCAAGGCTGCCACCCGCAACTTGATTTGAGTCAAATCTGGTGCTGATTCATTCGTGGTTGAACTTGAAGCTCGACTTCTCACGGTCGACGTATCTGACATAGCAGTAGTACCTGTGGTTGGAATGCTGCCGTTATCCTTGCAAACAATGTCTTGGTTGGTTTGCGATCTGTCGGCCTCATCGTGGCCGGCGGATACTTCAGTGTCCTGCTCGAGCGTCGAGTGATTTCGCTTGCGTTGAACCCAAGCCCTCACAACTTCAAGCTTGACACCTGGATGCTCCATAAAGTCCCCAATGACCCCGGTCGATTTGCACTTTTCGCAAATGTCAGGGAACATATGCAAGTTGTCGTTGATATGGTTATCACAAATTTGATGGATGTTAGTAGTCACATTGCTGGCCAAAATTTTGTCCACCATGTCTGCGCATTGCACGATGGTTTTTATTTTGGCATGTCCGCAAAGGTGGTAGATGGTGTGTATTTCGCACATGCTGTCGTGGCATCGACCAACAAGAAAGCAATATCCGGACTACAGGTGGGAAGATAGTCTTGATGGGCATCATATGTAATCGTCACTCGACCAAGATGGATTTCTTGTACTTTCGGGAGACTGGGTACAACATAACTTGGACAATGAATTCCCATCTTGGGTCCCTTTGTTGGCACGAGTCAATTTTGGAATCGCTCCTTTACTTCATGATGAAACAATCTGCATCTTTGTTCAGGTTTCTTTATGACCATGAGATTACAGTCAAAGGACAACGAGACGCAGATATGCGAGACACACGGTCCTACACCTATCCTGTCTTCATGTTCTTCCCAAGTGGTGGGCGGAGATCAGGGGGCAGTAGCGAATAACGAGGCTGACGTTGACTGGCTGGTGATAAGGCTGAGTGAATAATCCGATAACGTCGACCCGTGTCTGACTGCGCATTGGGGGCTCTTGGGCCTTTGACCGCCGAGACTGCCTATCAGCTTCTAGTCCTTCTTCCAAGGGAATTGATTAAGCTATTCCTTCTTGTCGCAGGTGAAGGTCAGGGTTGGCTTGTTGGATAAGTGAAGGCGCGGACGGGCTTATTGTTTTAGGCAGTGGCAATCCCTACGGAGTACAGGCCGTGACATCAGTGGCGCTTGGAGGCGAATCTGGGGTTGAACTTGGCTTGGTCTGCTAAGGGCTTGGTGGAGTCAAGCTTTTTGCCCTCCTGGCGCTACCGGTCCTCGTCGGTTCCTTTTACTTCATATCTACTACTAGCCTCCCACCACTGCTGCTCAGAGCTATGATGCCACGATGCTACTCTTACGATCCACTATCTCCTGGTTTGTGCGGACCATCTATCCTCCACTCAATGCTTCGAGTTTCTCTTTCTAGTCAAAGGTCGATCATGTCCGTTCCCCAGCCTTTTTAGCTTGTCTGCGTGGTGGATGGGCGAAGACCCTGATCGTTTTCCTGGTGCGTCGAGAACGGGAACTCGCTGATTAGGTCGCCGGCGCTGACGTACATGCTTATGAGTTAGATTGAAATCATGCACGCCCTTCGACCTCCTCTCCTGCTCTACTCAAAATCCCCTCGCGCCGTCCGCTCCTCCATCTTTCGGGTCTCTTCAAGACCACCAACCTCCACCTCGAAACATTTGCACCACAATCACCATGGCTGATGTACGTCGACAATCAAGGACTCCGCGGAGGAGGACCAGTATCCAAGAAGATGCTGCCATGCTGGCGGGAATGGGTGTGAAGCAGGAATTGCAACGCAATTTCTCCTTTCTGTCCATGCTGGGACTGGCTTTTGCCATCCTCAACTCATGGACAGCCTTGGGTGCAAGTATGTCGCTGGCTCTGCCTAGTGGAGGCCCTGACTCTGTCATCTGGGGCCTTGTTGTTGCCGGCATTTGTAATTTATGCCTCGCCGCCTCTCTGGCTGAATTTCTATCAGCGTACCCAACTGCGGGAGGTCAGTACCATTGGGTCGCTGTCATCAGCTGGAAGCGCTGGGTTCCGCTGCTCTCCTGGATCACCGGTTGGATCAATACGGCAGGTTGGGTGGCTCTAACAGCCACTGCCGGACTGTTGGGGAGTCAGCTCATCCTTGGCATCATTTCGCTCACGACGCCGTCTTATGAGCCGCACCGTTGGCACCAGTTCTTGATCTACATTGGATATAATGTTTTCGCCTTCATGGTGAATGCGTTCATAACGCGACTACTTCCCCTCGTCAATAAGGCTGCCTTGATCTGGTCCATTACAGGCTGGGTGGTGATTTCCATCACGATCCTTGCATGCTCATCTCCAAATTATCAGGGTGGAGACTTCGTGTACCGAACATTCATCAATGAAACGGGTTGGCCGAATGGCCTCGCTTGGCTGTTAGGTCTCTTACAAGGTGGTCTGGGATTGACAGGATTTGACGCAGTCGCTCACTGCATAGAAGAGGTGGGAAATCCTACTGTGCTGGGTCCTCGGATCATGATTGGCTGTGTATTGATTGGCGTTTTGACCGGCTTCATTTACCTGAGCGTTCTTTTATTCGTCTCCAAGAACGTGGACGACGTTATCAGCTCTTCGGCGGGGCCGATGTTGCAAATATTCTACGATGCAACTTCGAATAAAGCCGGATCGGTCTGTCTATTGATGTTTCCCCTCGTATGCTTGCTGGTAAGCGCATCAGAATCAATCCGTCAACGTCATTGAAATGGCTAACATTCGGACAAGTTTGCCGCGGTGAGCATCATGACGACCAGCAGCCGAATGGTGTACGCCTTCGCTAGAGATGGGGGATTGCCGGCCTCGCGCTTCTTCGCCAGAGTGCATGGAAGACTTCAAGTCCCCCTGAATGCGCTATGGTTGACTCTCATTTTGGTCATTATATTCGGCTGCATATTTCTTGGATCAAGCAGTGCTTTTAACGCCATTGTATCCGCTTCAGTGGTGGCTTTGGGAGTCACTTATGCTATCCCACCTGCAATCAATTGTCTCCAGGGTCGAAAAATGCTGCCGGCATCTCGTCCGTTTGTACTGCCAACTTGGCTCGGCTGGACGTGCAACTTGGTAAGCTTGTCGAGAATTCAACGGTTCTAATCTCTAACGACATGACAGGTTGGAATTGCCTATGTGATACTCACGACCGTCCTTTTCATGTTTCCACCAGAGTTGCCTGTGACCGGAAGCAACATGAATTACTGCATAGCAGCTTTTGCCATTGTCCTGATTGTTTCCACCATCCAATGGTTCGTTGATGGCAGAAAGAACTACTCGGGTCCACAGATTGACCTTGATGCTCTGAAGGCTGGGGAGATTGTGGGTATGGCTCCAGAAGAGACTAACCAAGCCAGAGCCAGTGACGATACGTTGTCCGGAGAGCAGGATAAGAAGGTGGTGCCGTAACCTTGATTTTGTTTTTTTCTTTCAGCACAGTCTAGACAATTTCATTGGTTCGTGGTCACAAAGTAACCGTCAAGACCTTGTAGCATTCTCCGAGACTGATTCTGATGTCGAGAATCACTCTGGCCATTCCGGGTCTTCCTTCCTTTGGAACACAGCGACGAACTTCCTTCCACCATTCCTCGTGACTTTCTTCGATTCTTCCGTTTCTTCGCTCATGATCTTGACGCAAGGGTCTGCGTCCAGATCATCCTGCGATACTCTCTTCCACAAGTCCCTTGCATCACCGGCCTCCTCACCATCAAAGTGCTTGACCATCCAGTGATGAAGCTCTTCAACATCCGTAATGGTATACACTAGACCACCGGGCTTTGTGACGAACGCGTACTCGGCGTTGAGCTGAGCAGAAACAATCCGAGCCTTGTGCTTCCGCTGTTTGAAGTGCGGATCTGGGAAGCAGAGGAATATCTTGGACAGCTGGGCGCTGTGGAAGTAGTTTGGAAGAAACTTCATGGTGTTTGTGCGAAGAGCCGAAATATTCTGGTACAGTCCAACTCTGCTGTCACTTGTGCCGGACAGAGGCTGGTTCTGAGCGCGTAGAGCAGCTATTCGGTCGACTACGTAGTCGGTGACTTGACTCCGCAACTCCATGCCTAGTGAGTTTTCTCAATCAGCAAAATAGACGGAATTTAGGACATGGAGAGTGCGGACCAAGCATCAAGGTCTCTTGTAACAAAGGTGCCAAAGCTACCAGAAGCCCACCGAATCCGCAGCCGATATCCGCAACCTCCACTTCCCTGCTCATCGCACTGCTGTGCTTGCCATCTTGCGTCTGGCCGATTGCGAAAGCAGGGTAATGGCGAGTCCAGTCCATATCGGCAGGACTGGTAGGACTTGAAGACAATCAGTCTTGCCACCCAGTCAAGCGAGACTAGGCACTTACTATGTCAAGGCATGGTCCGAAAAGGGATTTGCGTGCGCGCGCTGTCGATAGAACTTTTTCTTGGGCAGTTCGATCTTGCCGCTCCCTGTAGCGCCATCGTTTCCAGCCCGCAAGCTTTCTTGGGCTCTCTTGTAATCTTCGCGTTTCTGCCGTTTGTTCGCGGGACCTGTCATGATTTGTCAATGGCAATGAGACACAATCTCCGTGTTAGCGATGACAGAACAACAGTCTCATGGTCGAGTGTTGAAGATCTGCTGCAAATACACGGGGAGGTCAATTAGTCAAAGGCTTGGCAATGCCCCATCCATTTTTCATTTTTGATACTCGTAGAAGTGATTCACACACAAGGGATGTGATACTGGATGCTAAAAGGTAGAGTAATAGTATTCTTATTTTTCTTATCGTCTGGTCTGTCAATGGCTCAGGCATAGCAGATCACGTTGGCCAAGAAAGGCACAACGTGAACCAGTTTCCCGCGACCAGTGGTGATATGGTTATTCTGCTACTGAATAGTTAAGTTATCGAGATGAGGAGCAACATGCACCCTGCCACCGCTCAAAGGTGGGTGCGGAGGTACCTGTCTTACTTCTCATTTCGCCGGTAGAACTACCATTCGGACTCTTCTCTTTCCCTTGTCTCTTGCACCACTCTTCTCTTCCGAGCTCACTCGAACCTTTAGTTGCTGAAACAGCTCAACTGTGACCCCATCTTGTTCGTGACCCTTCTCGAAGACCGTGAGCCGGTACGAGTCTCCGTCAAACTTGCTTTCATGTTTGGATGCCTCGGCGGAATTCAAGTGGAAATCCTCAAGTCGAACTAGTCCTTCGATGCCGAATTGCGGCACGAAGACCACCATACCGTTTTCGAACACTCGCATCACATACCCGTCGACATCGATGGCAGCTTTTG